ATATATATATATATATATATATATATATATATATATATTCAAACGTTGTATCATCTGTTACATTTGTAATCAGGTAAATGAGATCGCGAACAGCCTTGGCTTGTTAAATTGTATGGATATAATGGCCAACAAGTTAAGTGGCGGGGAACGGAAAAGACTGTCTATCGGCGTAGAAATGGTTACCAAGCCGGCAGTCCTATTATTGGACGAGCCAACAAGTGGTCTTGATAGCGTAGCATCCAATCAGGTAAAATGTCTATCAATGCACAGAGACAATGATCACGCTATTTAATTTGCCTTATTAAACCAGGTTGCTATTTACATATTCACTATTAGAGTTTATTTCTTTCCTTTTTGTTATATATTTGTGTAAAAATTGATTTGGTTTGACAACATGAACATAGAAAAAATTATATTTGCGTCATATATATATATATATATATATATATATATATATATATATATATATCTAATTGGAACATACCGCAGATCCTATTTGCCTTCCTTTCATTTTTCCGTATGGAAAAAAACCCGTATGATAAAACAAGAATACAAACAAGTTACCGATACACTATTGAACTATACTACTGAAGAGCAATATATTCATATATATGACACTAGTTTTTTACGAGAAATTACTGTATGTGTGATGATAAACGCTGCAAATGCTGATGACAAGTTAATTATTATGTCTACTTAATATTCTCTATCTCGTAAACGCAATCCACACCGAGATTGATTTGCAAGATTGATCTACTTGTAATAACGATGATTTTCATTGAATATTTAATAACGATGAATTTTCATTGAATAGCTAATTAATGTACTATACGATATGGCAAGAACGAACTGTACTGTGATTTGCGCAATACATCAACCCAGCAGTCAGATGATCTCGCAGTTCGATGATATTTTAGTGCTTAATCGTGGCAGATGTATATTTTGTGGCTCAAAAGACGACATCCTGAACGTGTTCGACAACGCCGGTTTCACCTGTCCCGCCTTCTATAACATAGCCGAATTCGGTAATGTTGATTTCATTAATTCAATTTGATTGAATAAATCGCAAGAAAGAAGGGAGAGAATGCGAAGGGAAATGTGAGAATTACCTCAGGATACACAGTACTGTTATATAGAATTGAATTTGAAGAAAATAAATGTAATGTGTATTAAAAAAAACTCTTATTTCCATCTTATCTTCAAATAATTTCAAATAAGTAAATGTCAGTTCTGTGTGTTTGCAGTACTCGAAGTAGTAACCGAAAAGAGAAGTGGAAATTTGAACAATTTGTATGAAATTTGCCGTAGCGAGTATGAGAAGACAAGATTGCAGAATAATCGCTCGAACAACGGTAACTAGACTATACATAGTGTTCCAGATCAATACGGACACAGTGCGTGAGAGCACAGAACGGACTGAAGTGAATTAAAAAGGTCCCATACGATGCGACATTCGAAATAGTTAATGAGAAATTAATTAATTTATATGAACTGATGAGTGCATGGGAAGCAGTACCAGAAGCAGGCCAGACTCTACATAAAGAAAAATGGTTTACTTCTGAAGATCTCTTGTACAATGGCAACAATGAGCATCAACTGAGATTTCTAGAAACGATGCCCGTATGGAGAAAAACAACAAGAATACAAAGTTATTTATTTATTATTGATATATTTATTATATATTTATTACCGATATACTATTGACTATGGGATACTACGGAATTACTGCAGTGAGCAGCGAGCGGTATATGAAAGAAAACGCAAAAAGCTGCGTGCTGAAGAGAAATACGCTTCTTGTTATCATTTAACACGTTGAGTGCGACGTCAGTCCCGAGGCACTGACAGTGAACTTTCCGTTCAGGCGGCGTCGGTCCCTGGGAACTGACAGTACACTTTTCGTTCAGGCGGCGTCACTTCCTGGGGACTGACAGTGGACTTTTCGTTTGGGCGACATTGGTGCGTGAAAACGGCATTGTCAAGGATTGAAAAATTAATGTTATAATTTTAATGGAGTTAATTAAAATATTTTAAGCAAATGTGTGGGTGAGATTTGCACATATTACAATAAGTAATGACCTTTTTTGCTCAAACAGACCTTTATTATTCTGTGATTTTTTCTAACTAATCGTCTCTTGGAGGTCACCTTCTTGCCGTTCCCCTTCCCATTATTTTCTGTTTATAATTTGTATACTTATGCATTGGCTGCACCATCCCACAGTAAAGTGAAACAAAATAATCTTCTGTTCATACTCTCTATCCCAAAAATCTCTTGAGCGCTTGCCATCAAGTGATTATAAAAGACTGTACCTAGTAACACTGCTATTACAATATGAGCTCCAAATCTCAGTTTCGTCAGAGTCTATAAACGAAAAAGAACCATGACAATTCGATTTCACATAATTTTCGTGTTTAATTCATGTTTAATTTTCGAAAATTTTGACTCACATTGTCTCGCTTGATACAAATTAAAGCTCTTAAAAATAATATTTTCTGCTGTTGCCACATTGATAATCTTTATGTCTGAGCGGAAAGGATAGCAAAATCGGCGCCGCGCTCAACGTATTAATATTTATCGTTGTTAAAAAACCTTCAGAAATTAACATTTTCTTCCTTTTTTCTCTTCTTTTTTCTTCTTCTAGAGTCTATACCTTTTCTTATGCGTTTATTAACTCATCTAGATTCATGAATTTTTTATTAATGCTGCATAAAAAATGTATGAATAAATGATAAAATTATAGCTTACTAATCGTAAGAATTTGAGATAAAGTTTACGTAAACGGCAATTCTGTACTAACGTCTATACTGCTCATCGTTACATGTTTATAGTTACGATTAATGTGTAAAGATAGAATTCACTAGATGCTGTAAAATATTTTTCATGCGTCGTATAGACCAATAAGAACCTATTTTTAAGCGCAAGACGGTACGCGACTTTTCACTTCAGTCCGTTCTATACTCTCTCACGAGCTTTGTCCGTGTTGGATATCCTGCATAATCTTTATTATTTAAATAACAATTATGTATATGTGTCATGTAATATATTTATTTTATATTATTTATTTTGATAATATTAGTGTGTGCAAAGTTTCAGTCCATACATAGTCTCGAGATAAAACGAAGACTTGCGGAGAAAAGACTAAAGTCTATTCTGCAATGGCTGTGAAGCCGTAACATTTGACTGACGGTCGTAGAATTTAATGTTCTTAAAACGGTGTTGTCTATAAGAGCTTACTATAAAACGTGAGGCAGATCAATCAGGAAGAAGAAAGTTACAACTTTAATGTTCTCTTTTATTTTGATTGGTTGCCGTAAGAAATGAAAGTAATTCATTTCGTTTACAACTTACGTAAACTTACATCTTACGTTTCTGTGCACCGGAAATAGGTTCTTAGGATCGCGTCTTATAGACTTACAGCCATACTCTTACAGCCATTGTAGAAAAGCCTTAAAACTCTTGCACGTACCTAATACATCTCCATGCAGTACATTTTATCCGAGGGACGTCCTGGGAACGTTCTTAGGACGTAAGATGTTTTCTGTTTTTAGGATAGTTTTACATCCCTTCCTAATGAGGGATGAATATCAAATCAATATCAAATTATTGTCGATCGATGTCAGATTGACATTGAATCATGATCGATGTCCCTCACTTATGCGGTATTTTGCGTGAAGATTTATTATGCAAGGAAGTAACATGTTATTAAATATAATTGCACGATATGCATAAAGTATATTTTTTTAAACGAACGAGACGTTATAGAGAAAAACAAACGATGTTTTAATATTTATATAATTGTGAAAAAAAGTAAATATAAATATATATAAATTTATTTTATTTCGATATCAAGATCTATTTGATCAGTCATTCCTCACTAGGTTGGGGATACATATTGTATGGGTTTATAATTGTTTTTCCAGTAAGTAAGAAACATTAAATCAATCTTTTGAAACATTGAATTTTATGTGTGGTTTTTTTAAATATTTTGACATAATATTTTATAAATATTTTTAAACTATTATATGATCATGTAATATTCCTAAATATTGTTAACATTGATGTTATATACACTATTAAGAGCTACATGTGTGAAAACGTTACATGTTACAAAATGTCAGTGTAATAACGTTGTGTTAATGATTTTTTAGTGTAATAACGTTGTGTTAATGATTTCTTGCTTACTGAGTTGACCATACTTTATAATAATCACGTAATCTTTTTTGTTTTATAATAACCGTATAACGAAGATGTAAGTATCTTGTTTACATATATATCTCTTTCTCTCTCTCTCTCTCTCTCGTATCTCAAATGCTTCTTTTCTTTCCTTTTCTGTTGCACTGAGGATGCTATTGATTGCGTTTTTGTTTTTTTACAGAAATAGCATTCACTATTTTTTAATGTTAGTATATTGCTGCTTTTATTTTATTATATCTTTACTGCGTTATGTTTTGTTTATTTTTCTTACTTAATGTGTACTTAAGGAGATATTTGTATCTCATGGGATAATAAACTCTACTATTACTATTATGCAAACTGAAGAAAATATTAACTGCGATAAATATAAAAAAAATTAAAAAATCAAATTAATTTAAAAATTATAACATATTAAGAAACAATAGTTCTCATACAGATTTTGGCACGAAGTTACAACATCATTAATGAATTGCAGATACGAATGGATCTGTTTCCAAACATGGTTTCGAGGACAACTCACTCGTATTCACAAGCAAAGATAATACAAAGCAAAGATTATCAATGTGGCAACAGCAGAAAATATTATTTTTAAGAGCTTTAATTTGTATCAAGCGAGACAATGTGAGTCAAAATTTTCGAAAATTAAACATGAATTAAACACGAAAATTATGTGAAATCGAATTGTCATGGTTCTTTTTCGTTTATAGACTCTGACGAAACTGAGATTTGGAGCTCATATTGTAATAGCAGTGTTACTAGGTACAGTCTTTTATAATTTTGGAAACGATGCAGAAAAAGTTAACAGCAACATAGCTTTTTTATTCTTCCTTATGCTATTTTTATATTTCTCAAATGCCATGCCGGCAGTGCAAATGTGTAAGTGATATGAATTTAATATTTTTTTAAATATAGCTTTATTTATTTATATATATGACATAATTTATATAGAACTTTATTTTGAGAGATGAGTAACTATTAAAAAATATTATTAAGATTTCTTTCATGAAATAGTTTCATAAATACTAACAAAGACACTTTTCTAGCAATATTCTTCGTGTTTAAAAAATTCGCATTTTGCACGTTTCATTGAATGTATTAAAAATGATTTATTAAAATTCTCTGAACTTATTAAAAGTAATTATATTGTGTTAAACATGACTATATCGTCTTGTTGTAGTTCCCACAGAAGCAGCAGTATTCCTACAGGAACATTTAAATAATTGGTATTATCTGAAATCATACTACAGTGTAAAGGTATTAACGGATCTCCCTATGCAGGTGTGTTTTATTGTGTTTTATTATTTTATTATTTTAACAACCTGATAATTTGTTACTAATTACGCTTAATTACGCACCATCCGTATTGTTCTTTAAAATTACTGATCAACGATTTTCTGAATTCTTTTCAGGTACTTTGCTCTTCAGGCTTTACCCTTATATCATATTATATGACAGGACAACCAATGGATTTTCATAGAGTCTTACCAGTGTGGATTATCTGTGTGTTACTTACGATTATTGGGCAAACAGTCGGGATTCTTATCGGTGCAGCTTTTAAAACTGATGTATGAAAAATGTTTTTCGCATTTTTCACTATTGCTATAAATATCGTAAATGACCAAGTGATAATTTCTAGATTGGTGTTTTCTTGATACCGGCAACAAGTATACCGTTAATGCTTTTCGCCGGGTTTTTCTTGAAACTGGGAGAAGTGCCGAAATATCTGCAGCCTATAAGCTGGGTGAGCTTTTTCAGGTATGGATTGAAAACGATCAATCTAAGTATTATGACACTGATTCAAAAGTATCACACACTTTCTTTTCATATCAGATACGCGTTCGAGGGAGTCATCCAAGCAATTTATATCGATCGAGGAAAACTAACGTGCTCGCAACTTTACTGTTACCTGCAGTCTCCAAGCCGGATTCTTACGATGATGGACATGCCGTCGACATCGTTCCACATAGTTTTAATAATACTGGCTATTTGGATATTCTGTTTACATTTACTCACTTATGCGGTACTTTGCGTGAAGATTTATTATGCAAGGAAGTAATATGTTAAATATAACTGCACGATACGCATAAAGTATATTTTTTTAAACGAACGAGACATTATAGAGAAAAACAAGCGATGTTTTAATGTTTATATAATTGTGAAAAGAGGTAAATATAAATATATATAAATTTATTTTATTTAATACGATATGCTGTATATATTAAAGATACAATAAGGTTTTCTTACTATAATAATTATTAATATTAAATTTAGAGCAAAATAAATTAAATATAACAACATTTTAGACCAATACGGAAACTGAGGGGAATGTATGAATTATTTCGTATAATATAATATCAAATAGATATCATAATAATATATTAAATTGGACAGACCAATAAGATCTGTATTATCTGCCCTGTTCTGTATTTTTTTAACATATGTGTTATAAATAATTAAAATATAAATGAGAATAGTAACGAGGATAATTTAACGATATATATATATAATATAGTAATAATCTAAAAAATAAATATTAAATTTAGAAGTTCTTGCCTGCTGATTGTGTTGTCAAATAATTAAATATTTAAACAATTAGCATATTTCGTGGCAGTTTTAATGTCTGGTATAACTCGTCAATGCATTTTAATGATGAAATAGTTATGTCAAAAAACCGTGTCAAGGCTAATTGAAAAGAAACATCGCACCGAAGTAATTGTTCGTGGACCACAGAGTTTTGCTATCCAGATGTTCCAATGTTAATATTCTTATAAAATATGGGGTTCTCTATTATCTTATTATACTTTATACCGTCTCTTATTGAATCCAATATATGTTTCGGATGCCTTGCATAATATCTCGAAAGTGTATATCACATGCAGGAATACAAATTAACAATTGACATCGTTAATGGACAGCACAATGAATCATATTATTGCATAATCTATTTACAACGAATCAATATCACGTATATGCTTATTGCTTAATATTCTCGACGTATTCCTCAACGATTTAAGCACATTTGTACATTTGTCACATCAGCACACAACATACACAACATACACGCTACACACACACACACAACACGCACGCATACGCACGCACGCACGCACGCACGCACGCACGCACGCACACACACACACACACACACGTATATACGCACGCATGCAGTCTTATGTATTTATTCACGCAGCTATTGTAACATTACAATCGAAGATTTCATTAAAGCATCGGAAGAAATATACACCTCTCTCTATTGAACGTTTCCTAACGCTCTTTCCGTTATATAAATACGTATTTGGAGTTAAGTTACCATAAAAGTAAAAATATACACACGATCACGTACAAATTCGCATGCAAATAGCGGTAAAAGGTAAAATAAATGTCTGTAGTTTCTAATATTTCATTCAAATCAGAAAATTGAGCGGAAAATTGTAAGCTTTTTTTTTTTATGTGAGTACGAGCAATGGCATGCTCTTTCTGAGTAATTGAAGCGTCAGGGACTTTGCATCGGACGTGTGCAACACTCAGCCACTTAACACGTTCATTGCCAATCACGCGATATCGCGTGATGCGAGTTCTCACCAAACGGCCGATCACGCGTTATCGCGTAATAGATATTTAGAATATATAAATCCTATGTACATAATAATAAAGGCATATAAATAATATATTAACTTATTTTGAGTACAATAAAAACTAAATAAAAAAATAAAAAAATTTGACCACCACACAAAATTCCAATTTTCAGCTTGGCAATGAACGTGAAATACATCATGCATGCATGTGCGTTGATAGGAAAAAAAAGTGGTGATAATTTTACATAAAATATGAAATTCGGTCGTTCCAAGCTTCGTTCACGTCAGCCTTATCGCAATGACATGAGCTTCCATCGCAAAAGTAGATACGCGCTGCATCGTGTGATGATCAATATCGCAAAAAGTGCGATGATATCGTTCCAGAATTGGTCCCCCCTCATAGCAATGTCTGACAGAAATTTTTGAGGATATTTGTAATGACAATAAATCTCCCCCTTCTCTTTGCAATCTAAAATGGGTCTGTCCATTCCATAGATGGCGCCGACGAATCTGGAAAAATACGTATCTTTGCAACCCTTCTCTTTTATGTCGCATAAATATACCTTAAATCTATATAATTTCGGTTCATATATATATGTATGCATATATGTATGTATTATGTATTATTATATATAATATAATGAAAATTTGCTAAAATGCATTTCAAAATCTCTCTTATTTGACCTTATTTTCTTATTATTTTACCAATGTTTCAGTAAAAAATTACTTGAATCGATATTTCAGCCATTTTTCTTTAAAAAGTCATGCAGTCTTCAATTATATTCAGTAAATTCAGTATTCAGTAAACTTCCTGATATTTAATATTTCAAAATTTGTTCATTTCTTCCCAACAGTATACTTTGAATTTTCTTATATTTCGCAACATTGCACTACATTACATGAAGAAAATTCTGATTCATTTTCCTACATATTCAGTATTTTTTCAATAATTTACACTTCACTTTTCATCGATTTCACTTTCAGCAAAATATTTCCATCAGGGAAAGCTTTGTGCGCATAAAAATCGTTATTCTGACACTTACCCCTCCAAACCGTATCGTAAATAACTGACGTAGCTACCCCACTTGAGGTAGCTCGGTAGATCACGCAAGGATACGCCAAATCCAGCGAACATCATTAAAGGTACCGCTATTGTCGGTCCCATGAACGTACCATTCTAAAATTCAAAACGTCCCCATTAGATCTCAGATAGGAATAATTAAAGCGTAGACAATGGACAATAGGAGTATATTCATAAGAAGTAAAAATAAGAAATTGACCAATCATATTTGAATGTAAGGAGAATAATCAACTATGATTGGTTAATTTCTTATTCTTACTTCTTATAAACACCTACTGCCCATTATAGACCACGTTTAAGCATGCTGTTGAAGCAACCACGATGAAGGTCGCGTGATCGTGATCAGAAATAATTAGTTGATCGTACTTACCACTACATTGAATACGGCGCCTATCATGAGGCCGGTACCTTGGCCTATAAACATGATTAGTAAACTAATGGCCAAGAACATAGAAAATCGTATGATTTCCATTGGTTGCGCCGATATGAAGTACACAATTAATGAGAACAATATGCAGCATACTATCGAAATCGGCAGATCGATCAACGTTAACGCTGTATAAAATGCTTTCAAACTGTACCATCGGTTAAAGTGCTCCTTAATGAGGATGGACATCTGCATGGGAACTGTGAATCAAAAATACAACTCTGCGTTATGTAAGGTTGTATTTATGAAAGTATTCGAACACACGTGTCACACATATATTCGCACGAAGAGTCACTTTTGCACGATTAAAGTGTGCGAGAGTGAAAGGGAACTTACAGGTCACCACGGTGAGCATCATCGTTGTCATCATATGATGTATTAGGACAGAAAAGAGGAGATTGTAATTATTCAAAACACGTGAACCATCGGCGCCGGAACGCAGAAAAACCAATCCGAGCATAATACCGACGACTATATTAACTCCGATCCGCAAGTGCGTCAGGGTCTGCAATGCAATACGGATGTATCGGTATTATTACTAATATCAATTTCATGAACTATTATCAATATAATTTATGATGTATTTTTGTCTGCTGAACACGAACCCCGTGTCCAAATTTGGATATTACATCACAATTTTGAGAAAATTGGTGTCGAAGAAGCCAAAAATGACCATTTTGAAAGTTTCCATAATATTGTAACAACGGCAGTTCTAAATTACGTTAATACCACGTGAAAATACAAACTTTTGGTTTTAAAATGCATTTTGTTTCGTTTCGATACATGACTTTTCGTTTTCGAGATATAGCAATTTAAAAATAGCTTTTTTCCCATATACATATTTCATCTTAATATAGCATTATGCAGAATGTGCTTTCGTACTTACATAATATAATCGGATCATACTAAATCGCAAAGCAATATAAAATTGACAAAATACAATATGCCAGGAAGATTTATGTGATCTAAGATATTATAATCTAAAATCTAATGACTATTCACACTCGTGTTGCGAAATGATGTTAGGCAGTGTTATTATTAATAATAATTAATTCGTGTCTTCAAAGTCTTCCTCCTGTCTCCTCTCACCTCAACCATCTTGATTAATATAAGAAGCGAGAAAACGTATGACTAAAATTCTTATGAAATACGTTGAAATAAAAGGATATGTTTGTAAAATCCCTGTTGAAGATTTCCATATAAATTTCCATGGAAATTCGATGAAATTCATGTGAATCCATATAGGATATTAAAATTTCATGTGCGTAACAAAAATAAAAAAAAATATTGTGCTTATGATTATGATAAAAATATAGTCATACCGTATCTCGTTTGCTCATAATAAAGCCTCTTCTCAATAAGACTTTCAATTGATGAGAGAAATTTGTCGCGTGTAAGGTACTCCTTTTTCCCAAAACACTTGAACTTTTCAGAGGATGAGCCGCTGGAAAAAGACACATACAAATATTAAACCAAAATGTTGCACGTTGCATACGTAAATACTAGAAATAAGAGACACGCGATTATTATAAAATCCGCAACTAATAGTTAATTTACATCATAATTTACATTGACATCTTTCCGTACGTTCAACTTGTTAAAACGTGTCTCAACTCTCTCAATGTTATTGACATAAGCGAAGAAAGATATCAAAGATCTCCACAAGTTTATAATTTAAACATAAAAGTATTTTATAATGGATACTCGATAAAAATGTCAGATGGTTTAAATAATTGCAGAAAATTATTTTTTAACGATATAGTATTGTAAAAGATCAAAACATAATGAATACAATTATGCACTGCGCAATTCATATGTTGAGCATTGAAATAATTGATTTCCTCTTTTCGATTTACATACCTCTTAAACTTTTTGCATCTTTCAAAGCTTTCGGATTGTCGAACCATTGCAAGTTTTTTCCATTTTGAGACGCCATAATCAAAGTGTCAATTTTATCTTTACCATATTCTCCACAGGCAAGCTCGATTACTACAATTTTATACACAGCAATATTTAAAATAATGTTTTATTATGCTCTAGTTAATCTAATATAAAATCGAGAACTTTTATTCTTGGCACATTAAAAAATATCGTGTTCACACGAAATCTCCAAATAATCTATCTAAAACACGTGATTTCTTTCGCCATTTAAGCAATAATTATTTTAAAATTGTCATACGTACTATAATCTGCGGGGTTGTGGTACATAGGACACGGTAGTTTTATACTTTCCAAGTATGGTACTAATTTGTCCGTTGCTCCTTGGTAAAGGCATTCTCCCTCTGACAGCACGTACACCTAAAAGTTATAATTTTTTACCACGTTCAATGATCATTATCAAACAAAATTTTTACTAGACCCAATAAATTTACAATATTCCTTTCTTCCTATAACAGCAAATTCTATAATTCAACAATGATTTCTGCGACACCTGACTACTTACCAAGTCAAACAGTTGAAATAGGGAAGCACTAGGCTGATGAATAGTGCAAACTATTGTCCTTCCTTGTCGCGCGAGTATCTTCAGCAAATTTACGACTTGCATACATGATGAGCTGTCCAGACCTCTGTAATAACGGGAACAGCAATCTTAGAAATAACAGCTTCATAAATGACCCTACTTTTTATCCATTTTATCCTCGTTATAAATACTTTAACGACGTTCACTGATTCATCTTCACTTACTATGCATCATCAATTCTCAATAAATTTGCAATCATAAATTCGCTTTATACTCTTCTATAGCAAATATTTACGCTTCCACGGCAAAAACATGATATAAATAGCTGAAGATAACGATACAAAAAATACATATAAAGAATGTGCTAATATGGATATTTCAATACACAAATTTAATTTACATACATTACAAAGTACATAAATTATAAAGTAATATTTAGACTACTCGCTGTTACGTAACTTCGCTATGTACTCTGCAGAAGGAATTCAATGTTGATCCTAAAGAAAACTATTGCTTTCACAAAAGTGTGCCCGTTAAACTCGAAGCTAATATGATAACAATATGTCGCGATAATTGGATTATTAAAAAAAGAATCATTCAATTGTTCTGAATAACGCACAGTTGGAAAATCTACCATCGCAAAGTCAGCGAATTAATATAATACAATTGTGTTGCACTCTTACGTGGTAGGTTCGTCAAGGAACATCACCGTGGGATTGTTGACCAACTCCAATGCAATGGACAGCCGTTTCTTTTGACCGCCACTTAATCTACCGGCTCTCGTTTGCATGTGTTCGTACAGGCCAAGTGTCGTGAGAATCTCTTCGATCTGAAACAAGTATAAAAAATCCTTACTGAATATTACAAACTACCTTAATATAGTTATAATGATTGATACACTTGTTGCTATACAAATCGCCTCACAGTAAGACATAAACAATACATGTTTTTTATGATTTTTTCTCGCGCATATGCTTTAATTAATCGTTAAACATAAGATTGCTATTAATATAAAAACAAGTTAAAAACAAGTCTTTACGTACGATCATTTCTTTCTTGTGTTGCTGCGTGTCCGTTGGCAGTTTTAAGTCAGCGGCGACTCTCATGTTCTCCAATACGGTCAGCAGAGGCTCCAATCGATCGTCTTGTGTAATGTACGCGCTGCATCTAATGATAGAATAACAAGTAAGCGATTAAAAAAGTACGAGTATGTGCCAATAATTGGTACTTGAAAAGTATGAAAAAACAATGATAACTCGTCGTCAGCAGGCGATTTCACCTTCTGGTACATCGTTTTCTAATCAAAAATATCTGTCAATTATTTTGTAGAGAAAGGAAATCAAACTAAGAATAAGATTATTTACGCGTCGAAATGGTTTTCTTGTAAACCAGCGATATTAAAAAAAAAGTCTCAGTAATATAAATTTCAGAATATAAGGCTCTTTAATTAAAACTAATGATAATTAATGATAATGAAAGTTGGGACAATAAGAGCTAAATTAAAAAAAAGTTTAATATTTGAGTATTGTTCTTCCAAAAAATATATATAAATATGAAGTATAGTACAGTTTATTCCAGTTAAATATTTAATATTTATAAATACCAACAATTACAAAATCACAAGATGAATACAATTCCTTCTGTTATCTGAAGGCAACGAGGTTTACTGGTTGAAAAGATATAAAAAAAAATTAGCCACATTATAACGGATGACTAAGAAAGATCCCGGAAACGCGTTAAAACGAAAAATCAACATCGAAGAGTCTACTTACTTGCGGAAGGTGTTAAGATGTCGAACACGTCCATTGACAAACACAATACCATCTACTCCGGTCACCCGGAAACCAGATAGAACATCGAGTAATGTAGATTTCCCCGCGCCGGACGGTCCCATCAAAGCGATCAACTGTTTACCAGGAAGTCTGCCGTTAATCTCATGCAGTATCTCTTTTTGTCCTGAAATTTATGAGAGATACATTTCGTGAAATTAATTTACAAACAAACCATCAATATGGTAATTTACACGGTCTGACGTGCTAACATATGTGTTCCAATCTTGTCTTAATTTAATTAAAAAAGTTAAATGACACTATCTGTATATAGCGTCTGAAGAAATGACACTTTTATTAGGACAAAATTAACGATGTTGATTTGATTGCGCAAGGCAGGAAGAACTTCGTGTCAACTACGAAATTAGCAAATAAAATAGCCACGTTATTTTGCAATACACTGATAAGGAACGTGTTTCTAAAGAGGTTGTAAAGTGAAAGGGTTTAATAAGAATTCGACAAAACTTTTGCTATACGTATATATTGAAATATTATCTAACTGCTCGTACAAAGAGAGATTGATCATTCGAAAGCTGAGATATTTCCAACTAAAGTTGACACTTTTTATACCTGTTCCTTGAGAGATTAGCGTGATATTTTTAATTTTAATATTTTCAATATCTTCTAAACTAAAAAAATAAGATTTAGAAAAAAAACTGTAATATATATGATATACTATAATATATTATAATATTAAAAACTAATATGCAGATGTTATACACAAATTTTCGAATTATTAGAGATTTAAAAATATAATGATGTAAAATTCATAACTTATATAATATTCGAAATATGGGGTATCCTATTTTAATCTTCGCAGGATAAGGTCAAGTAAAAAATATGTTTAGACAAAAGTTGTTCGGTNTTTCGAGATATTTTATTTATTATTCTGATACGTTTCAGTACAAAAGATACGAAATATCTCATGAAGTGTTTACTTTTCGATAACGTCACTACACTTTTGTGCGTAGAATAACAAGTGAAATCAGTGTAAGGAAACATAGAGAAACTTTAAAAGAAAATTTCCATTATGTTTTACAAATACATCGATGCACCAATGTGCACCGGTTGACATAATGATTAATATCGGTAATCGATTTGTCTCATATTATGTAGAAAAAATGTTAAGGCGATGTTATCAAAAAGTAAATATTTTATGAGATATTTCATATCTCTTGGACTGAAAAAATATCAGAATAAAAAGTAAAATATCTCGAAATTCGTATTCAGTCGATAACTTTGCCCTAGTACTTTTATATACAGAATGAACAGAGAAATCGATTTATGTTAAAAGATCTATATGATTCTATAAAAAAAATAAATATTAAATTTATGAATGATGCGCTACTAAAAATACGACATTGAGCTTTACAACCTCTTTAAAGACAGCATTTCGACGATCAAGAGAGCTTACCTTTTTTACAGCCGAGGTTTACAGTATAAGTGATATCCTCAAAGATGATGTCGATTGACTCTCTGTTATTATCGTGCGTCCCAACGTGGGACAGCTCGCCGATATCCTCGCGCTTTTCCTTAGACGTAGATTTAGGATCGACCGTACAAATCGCCGTGTTTGCGCTCGTTTCCTGTCCGCTACTCGCTTCGTGTATCAATACCTCCATCGCGTCACGCGCTTTGAGTGAATCAGATTCAGTGAAGGGCTGATTATGCTCGAATGTTCATTTGTTTACGTTCCCGGTAAACTGGAACAAGAAGCCGTTTTGCGTTGAAAGTCATTAATACGTTATTTTGTACGATATTCTCTTTTCTGTTCTCTCTTTCTTTTTTTTTTATTATTCCATTAGCATGATTACGAACTGGAAAATGATCAATAATATCCGTGTTGCATCAGCGAAGAATAAGAACACGAAGATAACGGAATAAAAAAAATATCAGCGCTGCCATCCAGCCACTTAAGTTACTTTTTGTCACTTTTTCTTGATAAGTCACTGAAAAATTCATTATTGTCTGAAATGGATCACTATAATAACCTTTTATCCTGAACTGCCGTTAAATTTGTAAAATATAAGGGTTCCATATATTTTTTGCCATCTTAATAAAATTGCTCCAAAAGCGTTCTTACAAAATTTATATCGTTCCCTTGGTCTTTCCTTATTCTGAACTTGCAAACTGTACTATGAAAAGACTCAGTACATGTTAAATTATCCAAAGATAAACCTGGGAAGATAAGAGTAAGTGTTACTTATTTGCTTAAATGACTCAAGTTATTCTCATAATTTGACAGAAAAGTGTCACTTTTGGTCACTATTTTGATATCTGAGAAGTATGTTTTGTCGCCTTGAAGCAAATGCCAAGAGCTCACTGTTTCTTTTTTCTTCTATTTTAAAGACTGAATGACGACATTTAAAGTGCACAAAAAGACAGTTACGCAAGCTCTCGATCAGTTTTTTTATTTAATGCTCACGTAATTCATTTAACCATGAATTTATTCATGATATTCTTCGTCATTTGACGTTGCAAATCTTTGATAACTTTACTTATATTAAAATATGACTATAAATGTTTTCAATATTCTTTTCCATATCTTACGTAATGATGCTTATCGTTTTCTTATAATATAGCTTGTTCGTATTTAATGTCATGCAATTCAAGCACTTAAAGCGAATATCGGACAAAATAGTCAGTTAATTGTAAAGAAATGAAACGTAATAAACGCTAATAACTCCGCGGAATCCGTAACGAAAGAGCTCTCATCATTTTATATAGGGGGCAAAGGTAGCTTTACGTTTCACGAGATAATTCTTTGTCCGTTCCGCGGTGAGTCATTAGCAGCGGGAAACTATCGCATAACTCACTCTGACGCATAGATATATATGTATATATTCGAAATACGAAATACGAATCTTTTTCTCAGTGTTCTCGCGATATGCATGCAGATTTTACCCAAGTATATCGAACCTACAATTTAACGCTAATTCCGAACGGTAAACTGTTAGAGCAAGGTTTTCGTAGCAAGGATACTTTCTCTCGCGGTCGTTTGCCAGTACATCGGAGAAGAGACATGAGTATGAAAATATTTTGCTTCTATCATGAGGCGAGAACTCGTAACCTCTAAATGTAACAGATTAATACGCCATCTGTTATGCCACGCTCGTATTCATTATGTATAATTAAATCTTGTAAGACCTTATAAAACCTTCAGTAAGATAGAAGAAGGATCTATGCAATTCACGTGATATTTCGTGATCCTGAGAGACGTTCATACCCGGTACATAAATTCAACGACTGTCTACAAATAATTATCACACAAAAACTATCATTCAAACAGAATTTTGATAAATGAAGTTTTTTTACTAAGAATCTTCCGATGCACTCCACATACGATTATTCTGGAGCATCCTGTATATAAATGCCACACCATTTTTTAAATCCTTCCTCATAAGAATGGAACTTCAACTGCAAAGTGTAAAATTCAATCGGTCACATGCTCAAAAGGTTCAGAAGAGATCAAGTATTCCAGTTTTTTCGCGATTTTTTTTCAGTCTCTTATCTCTTATTTTCCGCGTGCAAGAAAAATTAATGTGGCAGGTTTTAAACGAACACACATGGATTTTTCCAAACGTATTTCTTCTCCACCTTTGGGAGAGAAACCGAAGAAATTCGCGGAAAATTTGGAAAAACCCGTCTTTCCCAAGCATTCGAAACTAAAATCACTTAGAATTAACTTCAGGTTAACGATAAAATAACGATAAAGTGTGTCTCTTGCCACATGTTAAATCGCGAAACGAGTGTGGTCGCACATAGCGTTATACTGATATTCGACTATGCGAATCGCCGGACTCCCTAGTCGATGTTGAACTAACTTCTGTCGCGTTAACATAATCTTGAGAGCGCTACATTCTAGAAAAATATCAAAGTGCACAGTCTACGGAATCTAAGTCCAGTCCGGTGATTTCATTTATAACGATTTTCTTATCCAATCATGCGGCGATACGCGTGACACATGTATAATGTCGAGTTATGTTTAATGTAGAAATGATCAATACGCGTTCGTAGTTTTGCGGGCAAAATGCTCGCTTGCGTATTTGGTAATAAGGAGCGTCCGACGGAGACAATTGCTAACATAGCGAAATTGTCGCGACGAAAAAAAGGTCGCGGAATAATCGCTAAATGCGTCATAGATATTATCATGAACTTAACACGCAATGCGAACCGAAAAGACTGTCAACAAGAAGCAATCTAGGCAATTGCAAATTATAAACTGTTGATAAGTTAAATGTGGAGCAAAACATCTAACAGTATATGCGTTATGTAGTGTTGCTTTGACGTCATCGTAATATGGAAGCATAATATGGAGGATAAAATCGAGTGTTCGAATGGTTTATTTCTCAGCGACAAGAAAAAATTGTACCTGATGTACGAGGCCTCGAGCGAATCTTAGAAATAAAAAACTCTTCAACAATGTTTAAATATCGTCTGTGCTTACGTCATGCGTCTGACATCACGAGACGTTTATGTGTTCTCAATTATTTATATACATTCCAAATATATTTCACCTCATTAATTATATTTTGGACTTGATGAAAGTCTCGAATATATCCATACAGTATAAATGTTTCAAAAGACATCCTACAGACGTCCCAGGAATAGTCGAATACTCTAAAACGTCTCTAGAATGTTATTTTCTGAATTTGTGCTCCATGGGTTTCAAAAGGGTGGAAGAAGTAATTCTTATTTATTATCTCTATGTACGGGAATTTTTATATTTTATATTTAATTGCTTATTTATTATCTCTTGTTATTTATTACTTATAATTGCTCATCTATTATTTTTATATAGGAATTTACAATTGCTTATTTTTCTTTTTTTTCGGAAACTAACGCCGATAAAAATTTCTTAGTGCTTCAGAGCCACATTTAAAAATCAAAATTATACCGACCATTTTTTTTATAGCACAAAACAGTTACGAAAAATAAATGATTTTCTAATAATAAATTAGAGATATTGGTAAGCCGCTGCTCCAGAATATATTTTCTGCAAACATGCGTGCACGAGATGTTGAAAGTAAAGTGAAACTCCTGGGATATTTTTAAGAACGGAGTGTGAGTTATCGTATGCGTGTATCCTGACATACTCTACCTTCGTGGTTCAAAGTATATTTGTATATTTTACCATCGAATGTTACTTCATTGTTTGTTGAAATCAATAGGCTGGCACAAGCTCAAATAAAATTTCCTATGATATCACATTAGAGAGAGAGAGAGAGAGAGAGAGAGAGAGAGAGAGAGATTATTGGATTATATATATATTTCTATGTTATATATATACACACACATATATACCTAATAAACATTAATTAATGGTAATATTACATCAATGTTATAATTTCAACAAGGTAGGTGCAATATAACGTGCGTTGTATACGTAGAGAAAAAGATTTCCTCGAACTTAATAAAATTTCTTTAATTGAAACAAACTTGTCTTTTGGAATGCAGCAAACAAATGAATATTTGATTCAGCAAATAGGATTGTTTGGTAATCCGTAATAAATATATTTACGTCCAATAATATTTCTTTTGTCTTCTTGTCCAAACATTATAACGATTGTCACAAGCGACAAATTATTCGAAAGAAGTAACACTATGCCAGGGAAAAATATTAATGAACTTCTTTGTTTCGGTCGAACAATATTTAATATGTATATTGGAATGCATTTTTTTTTACGAAAAACCAAATATTATTTCCAATTATTATTTCCTCCCAATAAATGTTGTTTTTTTCTATTAAATAATATGGCTTATTCCGGTGAAACAACGATATTTTCATTCGAACAAAATATTTCATATTAAATTATGTTGTTTATATTAAAAAAATTTAAGTCAAACAAGCACGTGTACTAAATCCATAGAAACCTTTTCCTCTGTGAATAAAGGTTACATTGTTGAGTAAGAAATTACAACATTATAATGTTACCGTTAATTGACATTTACTAGGATATATATATTTTGTAATCGTAGACTACGTCATACACGTCATACACATAGCAGCGTACTTTCGACGATATTAATTTTCGATGCGGCGTTAACATACGAAAGCAACGGAAAATCAGAATTCGTCTATTTGACTAAACATCGCACCGCAGAAAATGCGTTGTATCGTAATCGTTCCAACAGCTGATATAGCGCACTTCGTTCGTCAGCATACGCGGAACAAAGGAAGATACGACCGGTGCATGCATAAATCGATCCACTAAGTGATCGCAGAGGACATCACTCGTTGCCGTTACGGTTCACGTGGCTGATAAAAGTTGAAGATGATGAAAAGAGAATGCACTCATCATTGCCGCTTGCGTCGAAATTTTCTCATTTGAACTGTGCGCAGAGCATTTAAACTGTGTCCCCTTTAAATTCCGTATTGACAGATAAGCGAATGATTAATAACACACACACGCAGAGTGAATAGCACGTGCAAAGTTCAAGAGACACGATCAAACGACCACGTTCCAGGCGGACTTTTATACCAGTAAAATCTCGATTATTGTCATGTTTTTATCGTTTTCACTCCATATTATTTATCCGCGTTGTACATATTACAACTACCCGCATTGCGTTACATTATTTACACTGTCTTTTGAGACGTGAAAACACACGCAATATCACCTCGGTCTGATATCTTATAAAAAGATGCGAATTTTTATTATCTGCGACTTGCAGGTAATAAAAACTCGCAAGAACTGCAACTTGCACAAAATCAATTCATAACCGGTATAATAAATTGTATCGTAACCTTTATGATGTACGTGTGTGTGTGTGACGAAGAAATTTCATATCCAATACATCAGATGTTTAATATATTCGTGAATAAACATAAGGATTGTTATCGATATGATAAAATCACGGTATCAGATACCTACTTTGAAATATCTCGACGGCCAAGATAAAGTGCTGCTTCATTGTTTTCTCCGAAGCTACGTGTCCACACGTATCCACACGTGTGCACACAATGCTAGACTTTTTTTGTGATTAGCTTCTCGCAACATAACTAATAGCAAAATATATCTTCGGAAAATAACTACGAAACAATTATATTACAGTATTAGAGATATTAGAATCTATTTTTTGTACGGAACTGCTGAAAAGCACGCAGAGAAAAAGATTTCTTTGGACTTAATGTACGTGCTTGACTTGAGTTTGTTTAATATAAACAACATAATTTAATATCATTTTGTTTGAATGAAAAGGTTGTTATTTCATTGCAATGAACCATGTTTTTAAAAAAGGACCATGTTTAGAAAAAAGAAAGTATATTTAGAAAAAATAATATTTCGTTTTTAATAAAAAGTAACTATTTTATTATATATTAAACATTGTTCCCTCTCTAGAAATAAAGAAGTTCTTTAATATTTATCTAACATAGTGTTATTTCTTTTAAATACATTATTGTTTGTGACAAATATTGTAATGTTTGGACGAAAATACAAAAAACAATATGTTATTTCATGTAAAGATTTGTTATAATTTATTAGGACATTTATTGTTTGAAAAATTAAACATTTCTTTGCTCGAAAGATAAATTGGCTTTAATTAAAGTAACTTAATTAGATTCAAAGGAATCCTTTTTTCTGTGCACGTATAAAATTTTGTCATCCGTCACTTGTTATCTTGAAACATGCAAAACAGTTTCTTTGCGCTTCGGTACTCACTACTGTTTTATTTGTTCTTCGAACGTTCTTCGCTACCCATCTAAGAAATGACACTTGGCCACATTGATATCCTAATGTAAACGAATAAAAATGTGTTTCATTGCACAAATTACATTATTATCACCATTTACATTATTATCATTTACATTATTATCATAAGAATGAATAAGAAATAAGAATATGTCTTTGTTCTCTTTTATGATGTAATTTGACAATAAAAACTTGACGGAATCCAAAGGTGTGACTGGGAAGTGAGAATCATAAGCCTTGACCAATGGTCAAGAGTATAATAAAAATTCCACGAGTGTAATAAAAATTCCACTGTAAAAAGTTTTTCCACAATAAAAATTCCACTGATATTACTTATTCATCATTTTCATATATTATCATCAAACGTCGCATTGAGCAATATATAATGCGTTAGTTGGTATTTAATTCTTCGCAATTCTTCGCAATTTGAATTTTCATATGAATAAATGCATAATAGGAAAATGTTCTATGTCATTGCTTTAAACATAATAAGTTTATTTTCACTCCTCTGTGATACATTGTTACATAACCGTATAAGAGATTCAAATCAATTCCTTTTGCAACATGAAACGTTTCGTTTGTAGTTTACATGACAAAGATTCCGAGTTGATTTATATTGACCGTCTGGTTACTAGATATGTATATGTCAAGAAAAGAAATATTTTGGCATCTGCACTTTAGACAGCTGATCGAGAGATAATGATTATATTTCCATCAATATTCATTATTATAGAATTGATATTATCGCAAACAAATTAAATGATATTAAGCCGTGCAAAGAAGAAACTTGTTCACATGCACATGTGTCAATACGTATAAAAAACAACTTGTAAGAAAAACTTTTAAAGAAATAAAAGTAATACACAACCTATGCAACATTAACGCAATACCGTCTAATCATTTAAATTAATATCTTGGGAGGAGTTAATGATACAATGATAATGTTGCATTATTTCTGATTACTTGACAGATATTTCTTTATCAAGCAGATAAAATACCGCGAGCAAAGTCCATACGCGGATGACCGACTGCATCAATCACATTCCTAACAGTGACTATAGTACTAATAATTTTTGGTTAAATATTCTATTCTCTTTAGGTCGCGAAGAATACGAAATTAACGAAATTAAGTGACGACTTATGAGATTTACATTTTCTGTGATTTTATCGTAAGAATGACGAACTTGCTTCTAAAAAATTAATGCTCAAGCATATTTGAAAAGATGTTCTGAAAATAACTAGAAAAACGAAAAAAATATCCTGTTATCGGTAAATATCTAAATAGATGAAAAGTTAAACACATGAGAAGCACGATATTTGAAAAGGAAATGTATGTTAAAGATTAGACGATCGAAGGAATCACGCAAACATCGATGCAAAATAACAAGAGGCAAAGAAAATTCTTTCTTATTACGTAAGCGTCCAGAGATTTCGATACTTGCACATTTAGTTCGAAATATGTTATCATATATCATTTGAATATATAAAAATACACGTAACTAATATTTAGAGGAAGTTTATACGCTTAAACTGTTTCGGAAAACTATGCATGTCCCGACTGTTCGTTTAACTATTCGGTTGTGCTTATTACAGCTTGTGTATTGTTGTTAAAACATTTCAGCAAGTTTCATTTTTTGCAAAATTGTTCATCATACGGTTCGCGTCCATTGCAATATTTCTCGTCCGAAAATAAAATGATATAATGATCAGTTATACTTCAGGCAGATCTAAGGGACCCGAAAAAATTCATTCACTACTCAGAGGCAATTTTGGTACCAAATAATAAATTCGGATACACTCAACGTCGACCGGCATACGAACAAGCTCAGTCAAAGTTTGTAATTTTTTTAAAATAGTGAACGAAAAATAAGAAGATGATGAGCGAATATTACTTCACCACATGCAAAGAATACATTTTCTCCGTTAATATCGAGCAGGAGTGTCCGCCTTAAGCCGGCTCCACACGAGACAGGCGAACGTCAGAAATTATATCGATCACGTATGTTATATTATGTTATTTATGTTACATTATGTTATGTTACATTACATTTCTAATATTATCACGTATGTTATATTCGCACAACATACGTGATCGATATAATTGTCAATATTCGCATATATTCGCCTATATTTGCCACATCGTGTGGAGTCAGCTTCAATGGCGAAATGCCCCGGTGGGCAAATAAAGGCTATATTATGCGCTGATGTGTTATGTAACTGAAAATCTATAGTTCACGTTACGTATATTGTGGATTTTCAACACTGTTAGCACTTTCAGCATACTTTCGGAATGCAGCCAATGAAAACTGCGTAACGTAACGGGAGAAAAAAAGTAAATATGAAATTAATTTTTTGTTCTCTGATAACGGATAATTATTTTCAGAGAACACTTTCGATGATTTTAATTCTCCTTGTGTATTAATTGATTTCGATATCACGATGTACACAGAAAAAAGTGCTAGATTCAGGTAAATAATTACTTCAGTACTTCTTAGCAAATTTTTACTTGAATTACGCAAATTTTACCTGGATCAAGTAAATATATATTTTATTTGAATAATTTATTTGATTCAAATAAATATTACTTGAACCAAGTAAAAATTTGCTAAGGTGTACCGGAGTAATTATTTATTTGAATTTAACACTTTTTGCATACTTATGCGCACAGAATCGTAACTTTTTAAATACGAATGAGCAGTTCACAGAACATATATTGCATTGTGATCACGTAATTACAGATTGTATCTACATAAGAAAGGAAAAAGTTCTTTGATTTGTCGCGAAGATGCAACGAAAAACGAATGACGGAGAAGCTGTCGCTTTTTTTTTTCAGCGCAGCATCCAGAAATATTTAAATGGCACATGTTACCCGCGCCAAATCTCATTTATCTTGTACTTTGAAACATCCTCGAATCGAAGTCAAGACGATTGCACACGATCGGAAGTACGATAAATCGACTAGTCAACTTGACTGTAGCTTCTGACATTTCTTAAAAATTATTCTTCACTGGTTGCATTTCAAAGATAACATTCAGCTGTGGAAGCACAAGCGTGACGAATGTACCGGAGTTAACGGTCGTGCTAGACGAGTGGACGGATGTGAAAGCGCATTTTTAATTTGCCGATAATACTTCTTACGATTATTCGGCGCAGTTCGGAATAATTGGGAATAATTGCAAAGCGCACATTGAGCGTAATGTACTTACGTAGCATGCAGCTTAATGATTGAACGTCTAAGAACGATGGAAGAAGGCAGAAGACGAACTGTTCGCGACCGAGGATAGAGTACCAACTCCAAGACACAGATTCACGTTTTTCTTCCTCTCTCTATCTCTCTCGAACCCCCACTCTGGCAGCACGCTGTATCTCAACCCTTCTCCTCTTCCCAACCGACACTCTAGAACGTCAATAAAACATTAATTATGTTGAACATATATTTTTAAAATAAACACACATTTTTATTATGCGTAAAATTAACTTGGAATATTTCTAGAAATTTTCCCCTCGTAGAACATTTTTCAAATGTCGATTATCAATCGCCGAGCTGATGAATATTGTAATTTATTCTATCAACTACCGAGAACATGAGTACTAGGAAATCGTTGCAGTAAACATCTCCAGGCAGGTATAAAGTACAATGAGCAAATTATGCGTTGAAAAAATTAAAAATAATACTGTCTTATATTAACACTATCTATATAGCTGCACTAGTAATCACAATAAATCAATTACATATTCATCACATTAATTATATAGTTGATTTCACTGATTTGAAGATATTTATGTGAAGTGTTTCCGGGAAAAACATTTCAAAATCATATAAAATTATATATAATTATATATATATATCTCCACACAAAATATTGTTGAATGAAAAGCGGAAGAAATATTTTGATTTAATTAAGTGTTTACATCGTAAGCAGCTATAAACATTTATTTCAGTTACATTCGTATAACAATATTTTTTTAGATATAAGGCATATATAATTATATGTGATCATATATGGACACATATAGATAAAATTCATACATAATCATTTTTTCCCAGGTTTTTTATATTTCAGAAGATAANCAAATCCAATGTATTTAAAAAGTCTTGTTTATATAAATAATCGATATATTTAAAGCGTAATTCTTAGTGGATAAAAGAAATTATGCCATATTCAAATACCGTTGAGTGATGAAACGATAAAGTTATAATAATGACTTATATAACGACAAGAATAATAGATATAAATTAAAACAATGTTTTAAATAGGAGTAGAATAGCGATAATAGATTTGCTTAAACGTTTGCACTATTTATGAAAAGTGCAATAGAGAAAATTACATGATAACCGTAAGAGACCATATTGTAAATAAACTACCAATACACTCTCTTGGGCAAAAAGATAACGTATGTGCGCTTTTTTTATATTTTGATACTCGCATGTTGATTCTTACTAAGCATTGTAAATCACATGTCAACATTATTATGAAATAAGAATTTATAAATAACACATATAGATTAATATCGCAGTCAACCAAGTGACAAAGACAAAATAATTTTGCAAAGAGCACGCATTAAATGTTATTTACAAAATATGTCTTGAATTTTCTAATTTACCTATTAACCTATTTATCCATCGTTTTAATTATTTACTTATTTCAAGTATTACCAAAGGTGAAAAATTCGAAAAAAAAACGAATAAAATCCTCTTATCCAATTTTCCCTCACTAAAATTCTTGTCTTTTTTTCTACGCTATTATTGCGATATACTTCTTGACACATTGAAGTACAGATGATATACTAAAATTAAACTAGTGAATATCAAACAAGAAAATTATGCATTCATCAAATAATTTGTTATTTATAAATAATCGTTATGTCGATAAAAATGGTTCGTGCGGAAAATGATTGACATGAAATTGATTGCAAGGAAAAAAATTGAACATTTCAAACCAAGCTGTCATGCGACAAGATATCAAAGGTATTGATTGAAATATGCGTATCGTAATAATGATGTTGCTTCTTAATATTCCACCGTGCTACATTTATAGTAAGTTTGATTGTTTGAAATTTCTTGTGTAATTACACATTGTGACTTTGAATATATCATTGAATACATTAATTAATTTAATGTACGCAAGTAATATAAGTTTCGCAGAATCCGAAGTTCCAGGGGCAAAACGCCTATTTTATATTCTTCCTCCGTTATTTATCCAAATATTCTTTTCAAATAAAATCAAAATATAATCAATGTTAATTTCTTCTTCTAATACATATAAACGGTCTGTAATTTATTTCGGAATAATATATGTGTAGATGTGCGTAAACAGAAAACGAATTAAAACATGATTAAATTTTAATCGTACTATGCAGCTTCCTAATGTGTCATAATTTTAATTGTAACCATTTTCCTGTTTCCATGTGACAGCTGTACTAAGCTACTATAATTATCATACCATTACCATTGCATGCATTCTGGCTATACATTATCTGAGTATATTTTGTTTTTTCCGGTCCTTTCGGCAATTTAGCATACTTAAATTTTTGCGCAAGCCGTCACTCTGATTTTTGCGGTCTCGGTTTTTGCGCATTCGTATCATCTTCGTATTACTGTCATATTTGTATCATTCTAATGAGGATTGAGTTTTTTTAATTGCATCTTAAATTAAGCAATCTCTAAAAGTAGATATTTCTTTTCTTAAACCAAACGCATGGCAGCACAAATCTTTAGTTACAAGCTATCTTAATTTTGATATCGGTAACTTCCCGTCGTCGTAAATTGTTTTTACGTAGTAAACGAGATAACGTGTGTATATCGATACATTTAAACTAAATACTTGCTACACACGATATTGCTATCACAATGAAGTGCGTGCTTCACAAATGACCATTGACCCGACCTTGGTCATTATCAATTGCACCCACATGCTTTTGGGATCTATAACGAAAACTATAACGAAGAAGTGTTCACTGCAGCTAACCCGATAAAAGTAATTTTCTAGATCATGTAATGAGTTACAGAACATTTCTTAGAATCCAGACTTTTTAATTCGAACATTATCGAACATTATCGAATTATAAAAAATTACGTTATCATAATTCCTATTTTATTGCAGAAATTGATAAAATATGTTAATTTCTGTGGGAAACTGTTTCGACATGCACACACTATGCGCACAATCTGGACTGTCTGTTTAAACGTACAACTTAGACATACTGTTGTTAGAAATATTTTTAAGTTGTACATTTATTTTGGTATCGAAGAGATCAGTAAGATATTCACATTAATTTAAAATTAATAATATTCGGAGAATTTATTCGTCATCTTGTACAACTGTTGTTTTCTCAGATACATAAAGCCCGTCTAAGAACTTTCTAATATCCTTGTTTTTAACTGTTGTCGATTGTTGAATAAGAGCGGCTGAAATGAAACAATACGATGTTAATATATGATCGTTAATAACGGATGTTTTTATAATGATCTGTTGTCTGTTTGTGATATGATCTCCAGCAAAGTATTTACCGGAACGTGATACATCCTCCAAGGAATTTCCCTCAATGATGAGTTCATCCTTCTGTTTGGAGGAATTCACCACAGTTACTCCGGGTGCCATTTTAACACGCCTTATGTACTTCTCGCCCAAGAAGTTACGAATTTCTATAACTGTGTTGTTCTCCGTGGTCACACAGTTGATGGGGAAGTGAGCGTATACAGCTCGCATTTTGTATTGGTACCCCTTCGTGACACCCTTAAGCATATTCTCAATATGAGAGCAGACGGTACGAACAGCAGCTAATTCTTTTTTCGTACCGAACCATTTTTCTACCTTCAGCAATCTCGGACTGACCATCTAAAAATGCAGGAAAAATGTATTCATAAAATATAATATAAACAGTACATCGTATGCTTATGATTTAGTTGGAGAAACCTCAGATATGGATTTATCATTTATAGAAAATGAAGGGGAATCCACATTATCATCATAATATATTTCTATCATAATCAATAATTATCGTTATATTGGAAATTTTGAAATATATTAATACATTTCAGAATCGTCTTTACGCTACTTTCATTTCATGTTAAGTGTACCAATAACAATACATGTTGTGGAGCTTGTGTTATAACATATAAATAATAATATAACATAAATATAATAATATAAAATAAGTGTTTTAATTATTTAATCTAGAGTTTTTGCGAATTGGAATGTTATTTATTATTAAAGTGAATACATTCGAAGTAAAAACAATATCAGTTGGCACGGAAATCAAATTCAGCACACAATAAAAACAATATATATATATATATATATGAGAAGGAATATGTTAAATAATGATTTTCTACTTACACGAATATCAAGTGCAAGATGTTTAAATGATCGTTTCAGAACACCTCTTGGTCCTTTTACAGTCACCAGACGAGATTTGACTGTAACAGTCAATCCCTCTGGGATTTTAACAGTTTGATTTGTAACTATCTGCTTCATTCTGCAACATAAAAAGATATATTTTCAGATAAATTGTTTTCTCTTAATATATATAATACATATTTGAAGCATTATCATAAACATATAGCTATTATTACAAAGGATGATTAAAATTTAAAGATTAAAATAATATTAAAATAATAATATAAGTATTAAACCTCATTTGTGAATTTTCAAAATAGCAATAAGTTACATTCTATAAAGAAAGTTGAAAAATATAAATAGAGAGTAAAATAATACAAATAAATTTCCTTTTATATAGAATTAAAATTAACTATATTATCTTGTATAGATATATTATATATTCTATTTTAGATAACATTCTAAATAATGCTGAAAGAGTATTTTAAATAACAATATAAATTTATTATTATAAGTTTTAATTCTACACTATCAACTATCTCATAATTTAGAGGTTATGTTCACTTGAAACAGTATGTTTACTTTGAATGTCAAGAGGGACCGATAATAACAACAAATTATTAGAAATTCTTCATTAACTCATAAATTAATTTATCGTGCAGTTCGTGCAACTCTTTCGTGTTTTAATCTTACATACAACTGTAAAGATCAATTGACAATATTAAATATTAAGGTTATATCTTGCCGTTCTTAAACATTTCGCGCTTCCTAGAAATAATATTTTACAAAGCAAGTATGAGAAACGACAATGACAAAAATATATAACAATAGATTGTCGCACTCGACATATTGATGGATTGCTACGGATTTTACAAGACGTGTATCTTAGCGGAAAAACTCATACCTTTACACACGCCGCACGATATCGGAAAGAGAACAAGACCCTAACGAAACACGTCTTTAATCATTAAGGTAACAGCAACATAGAGTAGCTTATCTCTTCTAAATTCGGTTGTATTGATTCCTCCTACGCGCGTCAGATGGCGTTCTTCATCCTCAAGAAAACGCTCTAATAAAATGTTACTAGCTTAAGTGGGGTCTGCAATGAGAATTTAAGTTCTAAGACTTAAGAAATTTACCAATCACAGTTGATTATTCTCCCCACATTTGACTGTGATTGGTCAATAGAGTTCCCTCAGAGCTTGAATTCTCCTATTGGTCGTCGGAATGCAGCGTGAACTGTTACGAGAGAATGGCGATGTTATTGGTACATATTGTCAACCAATGACGCATCGGCTTTAGATTTCGATTTTGATTCCACTTGGCATTATTTTTATTTCATGCTTGTTATTTCGCCATTGAAGCCCGCATCTTCTACGATGTAAACGCGTAATTGAATCAGGGAAAAGAATGGAAGAAAGGAAAAGATTACTACTGTGCCATAACTCAAAACAGGTATTCATTACAATAAGGAAGAATCCAAATAATAAAACAATAATCTGACACATGCTGAGTCTGTTCTATGATCGAAATGCATACAGCGCAATGGCGTCCTACTCTTTCGATGAAATCAAAATCGCCCGTGATAAGTATCTTTGTTCTCAGCTGCGAGCTTCTGAAATTCACTGCCGGTACTAAAAAATATATAGTTTATGTTACATATAACATGGATTTTTAGTACTGACAATTAATATCGGAGAGCAGCCTTCATATTTTTATGCATTTGTTTTTAGTAATGCACAAAGGCGATGAGATATTAAATACTTTACACATATACATGCTGTTGATCGTGCAATTATACAATTTAGAAGGTAAAATTTGATTTACAGATTACAGATTAAATAAGTACATCCAGGTACAAATGAAAGTTTCATGCTCTACAGATTGTATATTAGAAGAAGCCGACGAAGCCTTTGAAAACAGAGAAAGATAGAACGTCCACACAGCTGATTCCATCTTTCGAGATCATTGATCTTTCGATCATGTGATCCAAGGGTAATAACTGCACGAAATTCCAGTTCAGAGTTCACTGTCCTCACTACAATGTCCCTCCGATTATCTTCAGGTACATACAAATTTGTTACATACAAACACTAAATTCAGCGTCAACGCAAATTAATTCAACCCGGGCAGTACAAATTAGCTAAGCATCGCCCGATATTCGCCAAACGTTGGACAACGGTTAGCGAACCAACTTGCACTCCTCGGGAGGTGTAACCCGAAGAAAAAAATAGTTTTCCGTATCATTAATATCTGTTTCCCGCCCTTTCCCAAGATCAGTAAAGGACAAACTGATGGCACTCGGCGCCCCGTGTAAACAGTGTCGCGGATGAATTTTTTAAAGCATCAGTCGCAGGTCGCGACCCCGTGACGGGCACGGCCGTCAGTCCTCGGCCGTGCTCGGCGCTCGCTGCTGCTCTGAGGTAGCGCGCGCGCTACACGACCGGCCTGGCGCGGGCTGGCGATACGGTTGTTCTCAGTGCGATGCCGGTAACGTTCGCGGTGGGGATGCCGCCTCTCGTGTCGTCTCCTTAGGATCGTTACGGCTCGCGCACGGAGCCGCCTCAACGCGCGCACACCACCCTCGACGCGTACGCGCTTAGGTGTTTTTTCATCTTGCGCGCGCGAGAGAAGAGGCGGGACGCTGCTCTCTTTCTCTCTCTCTCTCTCTCCGTCTCGGGAGCTCGGCGACGCAGCATGAAAACGTAAGGAGCGGTAGCGCGCGCGTGTTGCGGTCTATCGACTTCATGGAATCGAGCGGGGATAGCAGCAGAAGTGCGCGCGCGAGGCACGCTGTGCACCGCTCGAGGTGCCGCCGCGCGCGTCGTGCCATGCCAGTATAAATATTGTCTCGCCACTCGTGGCTTCTCTGTCTTTCCCGTGAGTCTTCTTTCGCCAGCTTCCCGCCTATTCTCTCTCTCGTTCTCTCTTGCTCTCGCCCTTTCTCTCTTCCCCTCTCTCTCTCCCTTTTTCTTTCTCCCTCCGTCTCTCTGTCTTTCTCTCGGCGAACGAAACCCTCGTCGTCTCGGCCGCTGGTCGCGCGCGCGGCACGAGTGACTCGAGTGCTCGGTCGGGCTCGGCGCGTCGACGCTAAATCGCGGAGTAACGAACACGAGTCGAGTGATCGCAGTAATACACACACAGTCCACAGTGACGTGTCGGCTTACACCTCGAGTAAGTTATCCTGTGTACTCCCGTAGGACACGGCGCGCCCGTTGAGTTTCGGCAACTGAGGCGCTCTGTCATCTGTTTCCAAGAAGAGAAAGAGAAAGAGAGAGGACCGCCTGGCTGGCCAGCCGGCCGCGAGAGTGAGCAAGCGAGCGAGCGAGTAACGACAAGCGAGCGAGAGCCTGTGCGTGTATGTGTACGTGTGGTATGGCTCGTCGTCGGTGGTTCCTCACCGCCTTTATTACAGCGAAACCCGAATGCGTGCGCGAGCGTACCCCTCTCGCCTGACCGGCCTATCTGCCGCCTCGATAAAGCTGCATTCACAAGTGCGATCGATCTCCGTGTAAAGACCGTTGTCAGGATCCGGTCGCTGCTCGCCGAGGAAACGCATCCACCGCGGTTAATGAGAACCAACGTCGATCAACGATCGTCCAATCAGCTTTCAGGTAAAGGCACCTCTCCTTTTTTTTCTATTTTCTCGGCTAGCGCCGAGTGAGTCATCGCGTGTCGGCGTCGATCAAAGGGGATGTCTTTTAAATGGAAAAATGTCCTTTGGACCCCACCACGGTGGGCCACGTGGGTTCTCGCAGTGGTGTTTTTAATTTCGGACGCAATTTCACGCGCTACGATCGAAGACCGAAAAGTTACAGCGCGTAGAAATTTCGGTGCCTGAAACTTTGTTAAGAGGTCCTTTCGGAATTCCGACGATTTCCGTTGAGAGTTCCTCGGTAGCCCCTCGGAGAGTTCTATCGATTATCCTGAAAAATCGATGCGCTAAAATTGGAGGTAGGAAATTTACAGCGCTTTGAAGTTACACAATCGCGAAGTTGCTCCCCCTTTCTCTCGTGTGGTGTTTGGACCGCTTTAATCAACGGAACTTTTTATAAAATCGATCGAGAACTTCAGGACTCTTTGGAGGACCAACTAGGACTTGGGTCATTTTTTTAAATGTGGAAAAAGTGGTGCCAACATCGCCAAGAGAAGAGGTAAAAGTTATCTCGCGAATCCTTATTTTGGTCAGCGAGGTCCATTGAACCCCATATTTTGCGAGAATCTGAATAATCCAAGCGAGAACTTGGAAGATTAGATTACGCGCTCGTGACGTTCGCGCAAGGTTTACTCCGAGATTTCCTCTGATCTTGCAAGAAAATTACGCAGACGCATTCGATCAATTTGTTTTTAAACAAGAAAACGTCCTCTGAGATTCTCTCCATAATCTACATAACATATATTCTTGCATACGAAATCTCGGATTATGACGCTTCTTTGGAGCTCACATTGTAAACAGATGCACCGGATAGTCCCTTAATATACGTATGCACTGCGCGTGCAATGTTGCGTATTTGCCGCATCTCCGAGCAATGGTAAGCGCATGTGTCGGTTTCCTTTGTTTGACACACCGCATCGGTGTGAACGTCGCTTAGCTCAGGTGCGCGTGCACAAAGGGGCATCCTTCGATGATGCATCTCGGAGCTGCATCTTGCGGCGGATGTGGGGAATCGGCCTCCTCGGTATCGGGAGATTCGCGTTTTCTCGGATAAGATGCACTAAAGCGCGGAATTTACACCACGTCTCGGCATCGCGTCGCTCTTTTCCGGCCGCGCGTGCACCGAGAGAAAGAGATTCGAGTATGAAATTGCGGAATACTTACCGATAATGACCGTGGCCGGTGAGTTATTCAGGGCGATGGTGGTTTTTTTTACTTGACTATTTCAACAAGTCTCACTTAATCTCGATTCAAGCCAATCTGAATTTCTCACTTAATCTCGATCATGTTTAACTTGTTGTCCTCAACTTTACGGGAACTAAGCGGAAGAACGCTTCCGCACGTTGACATAGTCTCTTTATTAATCAATTTCTTGTGGTGTCGCCGATATAGTCGCCAATGCTGTGAAAATCAATTATATAGTGCCTCAGAGCAACATCCACTTCATGAGGGCGTAGAATGAATTGAGATATACAAATAAGTCCTTCACTATTTTACAAATAATACGCAAAATTTCAATTATTGATGATTGAAAATAGGCAAAATGGTAAAGAATTTTTCGTTTAGAATGATCTATTCTTTAAGTATGTCAGCTGTTGTATCTAAGGACAGGTTTAAGGTTCAATATATTATAATGTCTTTAACATATATATATACATATATATATATATATATATATATATATAATTAAGTAAATCTATATACACAGCCGTTTTCAATAATTAATACCTCGAAGTGTTTATAAAATGGTAAAGGACATTTTATTCATCCGTTCTACATTCTCATGAAGATTTTTTTCGGTTGATCCGGGACACCCTGTATATGTGAATTTACATTGCAAAGCTATCTATATGTTCAAACAATAGATACACACACAATTCAAGGGAACGCATTTAAATTTAATGTTACTGATGATCGCAATAAAATATTGAAAATTATTCGTTCGCGTCGCGAATTATTTACGTGTTTTCTACCTTCTTATCGTTAAATTTCTTTCCCCTCGTTTAAGTTACGCCATTCGTCTGTTGTACAACGTGCAGGACGTGCATGTGACGCGAGCGAATCCCTCGAGTAGATTCAATCGAGGGGACTCCGCTATAATTCCCACTTTGGAATGTACACACCAGTATATTTTTACCGGCGCAAATTGCGCTCTGCGACGAGGGGAAAAATAGTCCTGCGCTCTGCCTTGGTTACGTTTCATATTTATGGAAGACGTTCGTCGTTGCAAAATATTTTTCGAGATCTTACAGATGCGTTGAAATGTCTGATGCGCGCGCTTCTAGTAGGGCACGTACTAAATTATGTACATCGGGTCACTGTTGCGATTGATATCGCCTGAACTATAGTTGTCAT